CAATTAGGTTCCTTAAATTCCAGGTATGTGGTTCAATTTGACATGAAAGAGGTGGAAAACAGTCTTCGCAAGGATATAGTTGAAAAGACAACAAAAACTCGGGGAACAAGAGCTTTATGGATATCAAAGAGATGGTGGAGATATCGTCCTAAACTTCCTTATACATATCTTCTTCAAAAATTGGATTCCTCTGAGGCAAGTGACATCAAAGTTTTTCTTGTTTCTCTGCTTTTGTCTTGTTTCCTTTGCTTGACTTCGATGTTCCCTTATGTTTTAATACTTTTCTCCTAAGTAATGAACTGTGAAGTTGTTATATACTAAATTGTTGGAATGCACAATTGTGCAATATATTCTTCATGGTATAACATCTGTGTGCTGGTTTTATGTTCAAACTAAAAGACTCAAATGACTTGATATCCTAGATGCCAACAAAGATGAAAGGAGTATAGAAAACAAATTAGAATATATCAAATGTCACTATATTAGTTCTCTATAAAGATGCTTCCATACAGGATTAGATTTAAGGTGTAATTAAAAGTAAAATAGGAAGCTTCTGATTAAGCTTTTTTCCCCTAATAGGTTGCTGCTGTTGTCTTCACAGAGGATCTGAAAAGACTGTATGTAACAATGAAAGAAGGTTTTCCTTTAGAATATACTGTAAGTGTTACATCCAATTCTTTTTCTTCTAAAACAGAGCCATGTATATCTTTTTCTTATTATTTCTTGGTGCTATTTTACTTGATAGGTTGACATCCCTCTTGATCCTTACTTATTTGAGACTATCTCAAGTTCTGGAGTTGAAGTTGACCTTCTACAGAAGCAGCAGATACATTACTTTATGAAAGTCATAGTTGCATTGATTCCTGGAATACTGATTCTTTGGCTTATTAGGGAGTCTGTGATGCTTCTGCACATCACTTCTAAGCGTTTTCTTTTCAGAAAATATAACCAACTATTTGATATGGCTTATACAGAAAATTTCATCATGGTAAATTTTCAAATTCTGAATTGTTTTGCCCCTCTTCGATCTCTTCTCCTTTTTAGGAGTGTCATTAAGTTTTGTACTCATCCAGCCAGTTGGAGATGTTGGTGATACTAAATCTATGTATAAGGAAGTGGTATTAGGGGGTGATGTTTGGGATCTTCTTGATGAGCTGATGATTTATATGAGAAATCCCATGGACTATTATGAGAAAGAAGTGAAATTTGCTCGGGTAACCTTTTTTACCTTGATAAAAAAAAAAAGGAGGTTCTTTTGTGTTTCGTATTGCTAGAGTAATATAAGATAAATTGCTTAATGACAATGGCATGGCAGGGTATTCTTCTATCTGGACCTCCTGGAACAGGGAAGACACTTTTTGCAAGAACACTTGCAAAGCAAAGTGGGCTGCCTTTTATTTACGCTTCTGGTGCAGAGTTTACAGATATTGAAAATCGTGGTAAACGAAGAATCGATGAGATGTTTTCTATTGCAAGGAGAAATGTAAGTATTCTCCTTATTCTCAATTTTCTTTGGAGTAGGACTTTCATTTAAAGCTCATTTACCATGGCTTGTTTACTGGATATTGTTACAACTTATGAGTGCTCTAGCATGATTTTTCTCATGTTTGTGAAGGCACCTTCATTTGTATTTATTGATGAAATTGATGCCATAGCTGGAAGGCATGCAAACAAGGATCCACGTTTAAGGGGCACACTTGAGGCTTTGTTTGCACAGCTTGATGGGGAATAAGTCCACTAGTTTAGATATATAAATGTTGAAGTACTTTCTATCACAATTGAAGCAAGGACAAATGGATGAATTGGAGAATAATTTAAATGAAGTTTGAATATTATATTTATATGTATTTAATCATCTAGATCAATCCTTCATTTTGAAGTTTACTTAATAATTTGCTAAATGATCTGGTTGCCTATTCTTTCCTACTTTATCTTGTTATTTTAGGTTAAAATCCTTTCTTTTTGGTGTTATTGGCTAGGTTTTTGCTCTGAAAGTGCTTCCTATTTTAACCATAGAATGAAGTTCCGTGGTCTTAATTTTGCAAAGTGGATTCTCTTATTCTGCATTCATTATGTAGGAGGGAGAGAACTGGCATTGATCGATTTTCACTTAAACAAGCTGTGATATTCATCTGTGCTACCAATAGGCCAGATGAATTGGACCTTGAGTTTGTTCGCCCTGGACGAATTGATCGGCGTTTATACATTGGCTTGCCCGATGCAAAGCAGCGAGTGCAAATATTTGGTGTTCACAGTGCAAGAAAGCAGCTTGCTGAAGATGTAAACTTTGAAGAGGCAAGTTCTTTCTGCATGTTTATATGTGTTTCTAGGCTGGTTAGCAAGCATTTTTTTGGGCAGTGTTTATCTTTCTCTCCGTATGTATATTCATACTCCTTTGAATTTATATTGGTAGAGTGCATACAATACACAACCTCTAGAATAGAAAGGAATATAAAGCCTTAAAATGGTTGAAAAATCAATTTACTTTGCAGATTGTCAATTCTATTGCATCCCATTGTACATGATATCTTTCTCCAAACTGTTCATAACAATTGCAGTTGAAATTATTATTCTAAATTTATTTTAGGAAAAATTAATTATTTAAATTCCTCATTTGTAGTTGAAAGTATTACTCTAAATTTATTGTAGGAAAAGTTAATTATTTAAATTCCTCATTTGTTCCTCTCTTCAAAGCATCAATGGTAAAGTTATTTGGTCTGAGCCTAGAATTTCATCACTAAATTTTACCCTGCTGACAGTGACATGTAACTTGACACAGTTTTGTTTTAATTCAGTTGCCATATGTTGCAGAATCACTGTTTTACTGCATTTCTCAATAGTATTTAGATTTAATAAAAAAGAATAACAACTTCAACATCACAAATTCGTTAAGATTTAAACAGCACAGCCCTGATTCCTGGATGAGATGTCATATGAATAGTGTTATTTTATTGTTCTTTTTATTAGTCTTGGGAAGAACTTAGGTATTAGATGATTGGACTAGTACAATCTGATGAATGATGGGAAAGTTATTGACATTGCTGAATTTTTGAATGATACTGCTCTTGAATTCAGCCTCTCTAATGCATTGGTCTGCACCAATGTACAAGTTTTTCTCAGGGTTCTGATAGAATATCAGCTTGTTTGTGTGAGCTATTTGTGCTCGGTGACTGGCCATATCTGCTTACTTGTTGTATGGTTGAAACCTTAATTTGATTTTGAGCTAATTGCCGTTTCCTTTTATTCCACTCTATAGCTTGTCTTTCGCACGGTTGGTTATTCTGGGGCAGATATCAAAAATCTTGTAAATGAAGCAGCAATAATGTCTGTAAGTTGTCCTTAACTGAACTTTGAAGTAAATAAGGGAAAAAGAAGGCAGAAAAGAAAGAAAAAGCAGCCTGAAATGTCCATGTTTTGTTAAAATCAAAATAAGAAAGAAAAAAAATGCAAAACGGAACCTAGTTGTGTGAATTGCCCAAAGTTCAGGTTGCATTTAAAAGCTAGGTCGAGCCTGCAAAGATCTCTCTTTCAATTTTAAAGGTTCCCTAAGTTCTCTCAAATTTGGTTTTAATTTCATTACATTTAATAGGTGAGGAAAGGACATTCCAAGGTTCACCAGCAAGACATAATTGATGTGTTAGATAAGCAGTTACTAGAGGGTATGGGTGTGCTCCTTACAGAGGAAGAGCAAAGGAAAGTTCAAGAAACGGTATGTGCTTGAGCTTGTTATTCTCATATGGCACCTTAAAAGTAAAAAATAAAAAAATAAAATAAAAAAAAAAGGCTATTCCCTTCCAAAGTTAATGGGCCCCAAACTTTAAGAAAACCTTACTAAGAGGTATAAAGTTACAGAAAAAAATTTCTCCTATAGACCTGGTAGAGTTCGTCTCCAAAGACTGATGCAATGAAAAGTGTTCTTTAATAGGTATCTTTTGAAAAGAAGAGACTGCTGGCTGTTCATGAAGCTGGTCACATAGTATTAGCTCACTTGTTTCCTCGATTTGATTGGCATGCATTTTCTCAGCTCCTGCCAGGTGGCAAGGTAAAATTCCAAGTGACAAATAACAAGGTTTTTTTTTTTTTTTTTCCTCTTTTCCTTGGGTGGGGGGAGGGGAGGAATTTGTTGGTACTTTTGAATGGACTACACAATAGCCCCTCCCTTTTCCTGAAACCCTCTCTCTCATCTCATCTCAAGATTAGACAGCTCTTAACCATGGGGACATCCCCAAGGAGACCAGGTGGTTTTTCTTCTAATTTCATTTCATTACTCCCAACATTACAGGAAACTGCAATGTCTGTGTTTTACCCCCGTGAGGACATGGTGGACCAAGGTTACACAACTTTTGGATATATGAAAATGCAAATGGTGGTAGCTCATGGTGGGCGTTGCGCTGAACGCATTGTATTTGGTGATGACATAACTGATGGGGGAAGGGATGATCTAAAGAAAATAACAAAGGTAACGATAGTAATCTTTATATGCCATTAGCCTTTGTTCCCTTGGAGAAAAGATAATGCATGCAAAATGTAGTCGAAAGACAAGTACTCCCCTAGCTTTTAAAGTTATATATGGTGCCATTGCCCTACCAATATGAGTCAATGCTAATTATTCTTAACAGCGTTGTGATCTCCTACAAAAATAAAAAAAGAGAACGTCCTTGAAATATTTGGTTGATTTTGGAAGGGACAAAAAACACAACATAGCATAAACTGAAACTGTTGTAGACTTGTAGGAAAGTATTAAGATTCTGATTACGTTCCTCAAAAAGCTTTTGTTCTCTATGAAAAAAGTGCACCCTTCAAAAATTTCCGTTCATTCCTTACTGTGGTTGTCTCTTCAGATTGCAAGAGAGATGGTGATTAGTCCACATAATGCAAAGTTGGGGCTTACAGCTCTAACAAAAAGAGTGGGACTGGCTCAGTCAAGTACAACAGATGGGAATTTGATAAGATATAGAGTAAACACTCTTCCCTTCTTCAAAGTTTCAATTTAGAATAGATACAATCTAAATACAATTTCCTTGTATATCTGTATCTTTTTCTTTTTTTCTTTTTTTTTGAATTTGACATTCTTAATCACCTTTTTTTTTTTTTTTTCCTTTCTCTCCTTGGTGATATTAGTGGGATGACCCGAAGGTGATTCCTGCCAACATGACGGTTGAAGTAGCTGAGCTATTTACTCGAGAACTGACAAGGGTAATTATGGTTTGCTTCCTCTTGTACCACATTATTATGCTGTTGTTACAAGACAGTAATCTGCTGATAACAGGTCATGGTGCTGGCATGAAGTGGACAATCTAATGAAGGCACTTTTTACCCCCCTTTTTTTTTATTCTGACCTTTGTAGTACATATACAAAACAAATCTCAGATTTGGGAGACGCATATTTGCATGGAGAAAAATTTTAAAAAGAAATGTACTTCTACATAAGCTATTCAAGGAACAAGTTTTCAAGCTAATTGTTAAAATTGAAGGACGGGATCATATTCTTGACTTTATCTGATAATTGGGTTCTTTATGGTTTCATTAACTAAAAGATGGATTGGTTAGTCTTATGCATGTCCATCTGTGCACATGCAACATGCTATCTTCTTATGGGCATTATTGTCAGCAAATTTCTGTTTCCTTTGTATAGCAAGTGTCTTTCCCTTCATACATGGTTGAAGTGTTTAACAAAGAGATATAATCTTGGCGGTATCTCTAAATGTGATCCATTTTTTTTCCCTTCCATTGTCATTTTAACCATGAACTATGTATTTCATTTTTTGGCCCCTTTCTCAGCTATAATTTGCATTTGTAGTTATGATAGTCTGTTTCTGTGCAGTACATTGAAGAGACAGAAGAACTTGCAATGAATGCTTTGAGGGATAACAGACACATACTGGATGTCATTGCAAAGGAACTGTTGGAAAAGTCGAGGATAACTGGATTGGTACTCTAAACTACACCTTTTTAGCTTAGTTTATTTAATTTGTTTTCTATTATGTACCTTTGTGTTACTCTTAGAATCTTCTACCATTTCTGTAACTCTGGTTTAGTTCTCTCACCATTGATTAAGCTACTAACTGTCGACCCATTGATTCCATTCTCCCCTTAAACGTCTTTTTAATATATTCGCTTTTAGATTTGGAGCTCACATTTTCCCATAAAATACTCTTTAGTCGACAACCTCAGTTGGATGCCTTTTCACCTTAAAACAGCTTGACTAAAATTTATATTTGACCCTTTCTAAACATGGTCATGTTTCTTTTCCAGGAAGTTGAAGAGATAATGAAGGGACTTTCACCAGTAATGTTTGAGGATTTTGTGAAGCCATTCCAGATAAACTTGGAGGAGGTACTCCTACTCTCAATTTTTTTTTTTTTTTTGGTACATCTAATTATGGGCTATACAAGAGGGGATAACCCTCCCCTATTCTCAAACCCCTCCCTACCCGACTCAAGGCTTAAACTTGAGATCTCCAACTTGGAATCTCAAGCTCTTAATTGCTGAGCCACCCCATTGGGGTTGATACTCCTACTCTCATTCTATAGTATACAGGTGAATATGTTACATTTATGGTACAGCAATCCTTTTATTACATAGATCATATTCCAATTCAACCATGGAAGTATGCCCAAGTTTTGGATTCAGTTGGTTTAAAATAGTTTTCCATAATGAAACCACATAGACTGATTATTAAACTATATAACAGTCCTTGTTGAATTCATTTTTTTGGAATGCATGTGACTGAAACTTTTTGCATGAACATTGTCTAGTAGCATTTTGTTTGGCTTGCGCTGAATCAAGTTTAACTTCTATACTGAACTTTTGTGTGTTGACTATCACAGGAGGGACCTTTGCCTCCTAATGATAGATTGCGGTACCAACCCCCTGACATATATCCTGCCCCGCTTCATAGATGTTAATTTCCCATACTTGCACAGCAACAGTTGTTGGTCGCTCGCTGATTTTCTAGCCAGGATGCTGACAGTCACAATGCAATTGCATTTTTTTGTTTGGATAGCTGAAATGGGGTTGAACTCTCTGAATATTTTGAGAAATTGCAGTTGAGCAAGAAAAATGTTCCAAGGAAGATATCATTTTGACAAAGTTCTCCGTATAATTGTATTTTATTTATAATATATACTTCCAAATGTCAATTCTCAAATGCAATTACAGTTCCTCCCCTCCCTCCAAGTGTATTTATTTTCTTTTGTAAATTCTCTTTCTGAACTTTTAAGATTGAGGCTTCTTTGACGGTGCTTAGCAGTATTCTTTTAACAGAGGTAAAAATATAAATTTTAAATTTTAAAATTTTTTTTATACATTTTCATCACAATTTTAATTAAATATTATTTTTTTTACATTAATTAAATATTATTTTAAAATAGTAAAAAAGGAAAGCTAGAGTTTCTCGAATGACCAAACGACGTCGTTCTTTCATAGTAAAGCCTACTCTAGTTACGTTCCCAAAAATAAATAAATAAATAAATAAAATCTATAGCCTTCCACAGTTTTCCGGTGAAAGGAGCAGCAGCTTAGGACGAATTTTCCGGTAAATTTTAGTGTTTTCAGATTGTTGTGTAATCCGTATTTCATTCTCTATTCTTTCTTTGCGGCTGAGTTATAAGACGGAAGTAAAAGCTTCAATTTTTGTTGGGGAGTTTCCCTTTGCTTTCTTCCTAGTGGAAATATACGAAGCACTATGGACCAAGAAATACAGGAGCAGGAGGAAGCACAAACCCTAGTTGACAAAAACTTCCCCCTTTTCTCCAAGCGTCTCAAACCCAGATCCAAAACCTCTGAACCCTCCCAAAACCCTGATGATTCTCCAAACCTACCTCCCCAGAAACCC